TGCCTTTTTTCACGGTTGGTTGTGCACTTAGTACCTCTCTCAAGTGCTCAGCCTTTTTGATCATCCCCCTGAGCTCACATACCCACTCAGGTTCGACGACTCCATGTATGACGTTGATTACGCCTTGGGGTGGACTGTCGACCAGCATCCAGTTTGGTTTGTTGGGGTCCTGTGGGCCTGGCTGTGTTCCCCCTTCTATATACTGGTCCAAGTGTCCAGCGGCCACTAACTCTTCCAGATGTTGCCTTAGTGGTGTGCAATTCTCAGTGCGGTGTCCCTTTTCACCGTGGAAGGTGCAGCGTGACCTCTCATCGTAGCCTCTTTGTGCTTCTCCCAACTTGGATGGCCACCGAACGAAGGGTTCGTTACGTATCTCGCTAAGAATCCGGTAGATAGGTTTATTGAATACGGTGGTGATGGCAGTGCGGACTCTTAACTTCCTTTTTTCTGGGTCCTCTCTGTTGCCTCGCCTGCCTCGCCCATTCCTTCTTGGTTGCTCCACCGTGTTGACTTTCACTGTAGTTTTTTTATCTGGCAACGCTGTTATGCCAAATTTTGCTTTAGCACGGACGCTATCTTCTTCTACTCGGATATGTTAATGTACACTCTCCATTAGGGCCTCCATCGTGAGGGGTGACATCATAGTAATTGAGTCCCTCAATTTGTTTCCGACTGGTAGACCCCTTTGTATTGTGCGATGGCGAGATTTGTAGGGCAATCCCCAATTTGGTTGAAGGTTTCTCAATAGCGACTGTTGTAAGACCTCAATGTCTCCTTTTCGCCTATGTCAATGGAGAGTAGCTGATTAATCTCCACTGGTGTTTTGGTATTCATTTTGAATCTTGTTACGAACGTTTCTGCCAACTGTGCCCATGAGGCTATGTAACCCTCTGACAGCTTTTCGAACCAGGTCAGACCTAGGTCGCCAAGGCTGGATAGGAACAGGATGCACATTAGAGTTTCGTTTCGCCGGTATATTGTCATAACCTGGCGAAAGTGGCTTAAGTGCATATAGGGGTCTGACTTCCCTTCATAAATAGTAAATTTGGGCTGATGGAAGCTTGAAGGTAGTGGTGCATTCTCTATTGTCGGAACGAACGGCGAGCTTTGTAACCTTGCTAATACTTTATCTGCTGGTTCGTAAGCAAGGCACGACATTGGCATCCCTACCTCGACACTCCCATGTGTCTTAGGGGCCAATCGCTGTAGGGTTGAAACCCTGCAAGGGTCGCGAGGACTGGTGTCTTCCTTCCAACGGGCCCTCTCCTCCAGCACTGTCCGTAAGTCCGCTGACCTAGGCAACTCCGTGTGCCTAAAAGTCGTCTAGTGCGTGTGTGAGGGGTAATAGCTGCTTCCCTCTGTATATGACCTTTCAGTCCTCGTTCTCTAAGACCTGGAGTGTCGAGTCCTGGAAGTCCTTGATTGGGTGTCGCCTGTTCTAAGGCTCCTGCTTTCTGTTTATGATGGTGTGGTATGCCTGTCACAATCTTTCGAGTGGCGAAGGGGTGTGTTGCATTTGCGCCCCTCTCCTGTCGCCACCCATTTTCTTTTTATCTGGTGCTTCATTGTCTCCATGTTTGCCGTCATCCTCCTTATTAGCTCATCTTGCTCCCTCACGCGATCCTCCAGAACTTGAGGATCAAGCCTCCACCTTTGCCTTTCAGGACTTTGAGAGTAACGGGGGCTAGTGCCCCGTCTCTCCCTAGAGTCCCTCCGGGAGTTTCGTCGCTGGGGTTCTCAATCCGCCATGGGTGGGATAGGAGGTAAACCTTCGCGCCTCCCATCCCCCTCCAGGGTCTGCCCATCAATAGCAAATTACGACAAGTCTTCATTGTCCCTATTGCTTGTAACTAGAGAGGAAAACTTGATCAAGAGGTTTCGTTCTTTGTGAAATTTCCCATAGACGGTGCCAATTGTACGAGCACGAAATAATCTTCTCGTATAATTCTTTTGATCAAGTTTGCACTCCTCCAAACGTTGTCGCTTTGTCACCTGAAAACACAAACATGAGCTAGCCGGTGGGTGTGTACCGAAAACCTCTCCGACGCCTGAGTCAGCGAATAGACAATAGACACAAAAGCTCTGTGTATTCTAGGATGAAAATTGTGATACCTGTTCATAGGTCTTGCTATGAACTTTTATAGATTCCGCGTTATACAATCCTAGTAGGACTCTTTTTTTCCAATGTAAAGTCCTCCTAGGAATTACACACCCTACTCACTACTAACCAAGTGAGATGGTTTTGCACAATCCTAGTAGGACTCTACTCTCCTAAGCAGAGCCCTCCTAGAAGTCTTAAGCTCAAATGAAGAATGTCTATTATAACACTATACTTTCTGCCAACCAAGTAAGATGGTTACCTCCTTTGTTTGGGCTGCCACGGCCTAGCCGAGCTATATTACCTCAGTCATACACTTAAGTAATAACTTGGATAGCATTTGGCCGAGCTATACCAAGCCTGGCATCCTCTCTCATCAATATCTCAGCTAACCACTAAGCCCACTTATTTAGATAGCTCGGTTCAAAGTACCTCTGCCCAGCTTTCTTACAACATGGGACCGTGCTACGCGAAGCCCATACCTCGGTTCAGAATACATAGACCGAGCTAATTGCCACTACTCCGGACCGAGCTCATAGAAGCAAGGTCCAGCTGAGAAGCCCTTTTCACTACGGCCCACAGATCAATCTATTACAATATCTGAGCCTAGCTCGGCTCTAGTTCACATAAAATCTCCCTCTCCACCACCAACATTGAGACTTAACATTTTATTTCTTAAAATTTCGACATAAAAGTGGTGTGTCTCTTAATATATTGAATAATTTTCCCTAAATGCTTGCCTACGTCAGCCAGTCGTGTAGCCCACTGGATAGGATGACAGCACATGGCAAACTCACATTGATTTTTCCACTTGGAGCTTTCAGCCTCCTCGTTGTAAAACTGTCTAAACTATCCCTAAGCTTCATACAATAATGTCTCCAAAAAGTTAGGCAATTAAATAATAGTCCGGGAATATCATATGATCTTATTACTTCACTGATCATTATTCATTATATTTCGTTATATTATTCAATTACGCAATACAAATAATTAATAATTTATTTTTTTCATCAATCATATAAAATATTACATGACGGTGCTCTCGAATTATCGAATAATCACCCAGCATTTAGAAGCAAGACTTGTTATTTGATTCAAAGGCCCAGCCCAGACCCTACAGACTCCACTGCCTTTTACTTGGCCCAACTCCCTATGTCACAAACTAATATATCTCAAGCACATCAGCTTGGCCTGAATGAGGTTTGCAATATAGTGGGTTTGGGTTTACAACCCGTTTGTTTTTTACATATAGATGGGGTGAAATTGTTAATGTAGGTGTTATTAATGAGGAAATTGTTAATATAAGGATTGTTAGTGAGAAGTTTAAAAAAATTATATTTGTTTGATAATCACCGAATTAATAAGAATTCATGTTTGTTTTATCATTCTATAATAAGATTAGTTATATAAAAAAAAATTGGGCAAATTACATATACCTCCCTTGAGATTTGGCTAAATTACAGATATCCCCCTGAGGTTTTGGAAATTACATCCCGCCCCCTAAGGTTTATATTTTCATAACAATTTGCCCCCTGAGGTTTAAATTTCATAACAAATTACCCCCTAATTTGTTATGCAAATATAGCATTCAGGGGGAAATTTGTAATTTCTCAAACCTCAGGGGGATATTTGTAATTTGGCCAAACCTCGAGGGGGTATATGCAATTTGCCCTATAAAATTTCATAAATACCCTTAGTATTTTTGATATATTTTAATATTAAAAATTATATTCTGGTATTATATTATTTTAATATGTTGTTTTATGTTGATATATATCTTCTTCTTTTTTTTGGTATAAATATATTATTATACTATTTTATTTTTATATTAAAAATTATTTTAATATTATACTATTTTATTTTTATATTAAAAATTATTTTAATATTAAATTAATTTTGTAAAATGAGGGACAAAATAATTATTTCATCTCTAATCTCATGAGATAGGTTTGAATACCATCTTCCCACATGGCATTGCTAGTCCCCTCACTGGAGGGTATTTCTAATCCCATGAAACTACCAGTCTAATGGCTATTTCTACAAACAAACATAATTTCAATAGCCCTCCCCATAATAATAAATCCAATCCCTAGTCCAATCTCTCAAAGCAAATAAGGCCAGTTTTGAATATGGCCTGACCTACCAGTGCAGCCTGTCAGCTTGCCCATAGTTCAGTGAGAGGCAGCCAGCCCACGATCCGACAGCCAGAATACACCTCTGCTCACCGTTCTTGGCAGCCAACAGCCACCTCCACCACTCATTTCCCTTGTTTTGAAAATAATTGTGTATCAAACATGTTTTAATTTTCATTTTAACCAAAAATAAACATAAACATGATAACTGTATTCTCTGTAAACAAAAACAATAAAATGTGGACGCCGCAAAATAAATGTTAACAAAAATTGACCCACCTTTGGCGAGAAATCAAATTAGATGGACAGAAGAAAAAAAATATTTGAAGTGACCCACACCCAATAAGGTTTACCAAACTTGGGCTACAACCTAAACACACAAATCACATTTTCCAGTCACATCATGTACAAGAAGGCTTCCATTTCAGAAGATTACATATATCCCAAGTCACCAAGTGTTGTCGTATATATAACAAGTAGATAAAAGGAAGAAAAAACATAAATAAACATAAGCAAAATGATCATCCCTATCCATTGTATTCCAACGTTAAGACATTAACTAGGGGGTCAAAATTATACACGTAGCTCAAAATTTAGTGGCCCTAATGGCCCTAAATTTCCATATAAGGCAACAAAAAAAAAACAAGGCAAAAAAAAAAAGAAAAAAAAAACAAACTTATCCAGAAAAGGAAATTAGGGCCATTAGGGCCACTGTTTTTAGGGTCACAATTCATTTTCCAACACACAAATCACATTTTCCAGTCACATCATGTACAAGAAGGCTTCCATTTCAGAAGATTACACATATATCCCAAGTCACCAAGTGGTGTTGTATATATAACAAGTAGATAGAAGGAAGAAAAAACATAAATAAACATAAGCAAAATGATCATCCCTATCCATTGTATTCTAACGTTAAGACATTAACTAGGGGGTCAAAATTATACACACAACAAGCTCTCTTCTCTAATTAACTTCAAAACTCAAGATATCTCAATAAACCCACAATAACAATGGGTAAACCTAGAGTCAAAAGTACACCAAGTATATGCCTAGATGAGAAAATGGAGTGCGATGCTAGAGGAGCCTACAAAGACTCAGGTAACCTCTTTGTCACCGCCTCTTGGAAAATCCCTTCTGGATTTCACATTCCAAGCCGGTTCTTGAGCAACTTTGTGACATTATTGGACTTAGTAAGGGATGTATCCTGGCCCTCGTCTACAATAGCAGCTGGATCAGCACTGACACTTTCCTTTTCTTCAGCCTGCAAAAATGCAATTTATAGGTGGAGTTTACAATACATGAAGAGGCATTATTACAATCTGTACACGAGCTTCACTGACAAACTTCTCACCTTCGCCACTACTAATTCTGCTTCATGGTTTTGTTCCTTGTAGCTCAGATCTCTAAAATTGCTGCGGTAAAACGATGGAACTTGAAGTTTCTTCTTCAGCCGGAATACTTTTCTCGGTGCATTTCCTTGCTGCCTCAGGCTTTTGGAACTAGGTTGATTACGAGTTAGGCAAGTCTTTAATTTGATTCCAGTTCCAAAAGTATCACCATTGCTGACAGCGTTGCTTGATCCTTGAGGACTATTGAACAATTCACAAGATTGGTCACTGGCAGAAGCAACAGAGACAAAAAGAGTTCTCAAGAAACTCATTTTCTAGTAAACCCAAACAAGTAATGCTACAATCACCATGTTATATGTCATCACTCTATGAAAAATAAGATGGTCAACAACATAGTTTGTAAAATCCCGTATTTTTTAAGTATAAATATTTTAATGAGAAGAATTCGTAATTTATTATTTAAGATAGCAGTTTGGTAGTGAGATTTTATATGAGAATTTAACGTACTTTCTTATATTTCTGTATTTATTTTAACTCTTTTTGTCTTCACCTCATTATTTTATTCATCTCTTTTGAAAAGATATTTTTACTCTCATTTCCCATCCTTTCTTCCTTACCAAGAAAAAGAAATAAATAAATAAATTCTTTAAATGGTCGGCCATCCCATTCCCTTCCCCATACCCTTGTCATTTTGATTGATACAATACATGGTATATACCATATACCATACCATACCATGCCATGCCTTAACCCTCCATTTCTTGTCTTTTCATTTTTTCATTCTTTTCAAATTTTTTTTTTTTTGGTTTATTATTATTATTATTATTATTTTCTACCCCTCCCCGTTTCTTTCTCTATAAATTGAGCTTCTTCTTAGTCCATTCGTATCTCTATCTCTCTAATTGTGATGTAAATTTAGAGTTTAGATTGGAAGGGCTTAGAATGAGAGTTAGCAATTTTACAAAGAGGAGAATTGTAAATTTTGTCAATCCTTAGATACATTATGCTTTAGAATTTTGATCAATTACCTTTGGAGATTTATGGTGAATATCAGCAGATTAAAGTGTAGGATATGGAGGAAATTGATTTGAGGTAATTCGAGTAGGTATACAATATACTTACTCTAAATTTCTTTGCAAAGAGTTTTGTTTTAGTTACTTGTAATTTGTACTCCGTTTGTTATACTAGCCACTTAATAAAATCTCAATTCAAGTCTCTCGTTGGCATTTGGTTGGTCCTTATTTGTTGGACTCATTTCCTATCAATTTAAGCTTTTTAGACAATTGATGACTTAAAAGTGGTGTTAGTAGGTTGACTTTCTTTTTTAGCTGTATCATATGCAAGAAAATGCCAAAAACATTTTTAAAAAAATATTTTTCAGCCAAACAAATGGTGCATATGTTGAAGACCAACAAGCAATTGCGGGCTTATGATTTTAGTTATAATGGTCAGAGAGTGGAAAGAACTCCATCAAAGGTGAAGGTGTCTTTTTTTTTTTTCAATATTTGTGAAGTTCAAGTGCATCCAAGTGGTTTGTGTATATTAGTGAAGTCCACATGGGATGTATATAAGGAAAGAAATATATATATATAGAGAGAGAGAGAGACCAAGTTGGGGCATATATAAGGGAGGGCTTATTTCAAAATTTTTAATTGATCCTAAATGTGTAAGTGTAGTTAAGAGTTTTGTGAGGTGACAATCTAAGTCATGCAATAAAAAACAAATGCCTACACTAATCACGCTGTGAAAGTAAGAACATGTTTAAAAAATAAATAAAATAAATCAAAACCTGTCAAGTAAGAAGTCCAATGAATAAAAAATTGAAAAGTTCAGCCCACACTTCTTAAAATCTAAGCATCAAGAAGATGGAAACTAAGGCTTTATAATTAGTACAGATGAAGCAACTCCACGCGATGTGGGACACATTCCAACACACCCTCTAGGACCACAATATACAGTAGCCAGACAAACGGCACACCAATCACAGGCACAACCAAGCTCTAATACTAAATTGAAAAGCTCAGCCTACACTTCTTAAAACTTAGGTATTAAGGAGAGGAAAACTGGAGCCTTATAACCAACACAGATAGGGCAACTCCAGACAATGTGAGACACATTCCAACAATTAGTTATTTGGAATTATAAATTTAAGATTTATTTAATTTATTAACGGCCCAAAAGTTGAGACGTTACATAGTCATCATTGCTGACAGCACTGCTTGATCCTTCAAGACCATTCACAAGCTTGGTCACTGGCATAAGCAACAGAGACAATCGACTTCTCAAGAAACTCATTTTCTAGTAAACCCAAATAAGTAATACTACAATCACCATGTTATATTATCTTATTTGTCATACAGTGATGACACATCACATATCATCACTGTGACAAATAAGCTGGCATAACAACACGGTCAATGTAACATTACTCAAACCAAATACCTCAAGTGCTCTTGATTGGACTTGGAAAGGGACGCATCTATGACAGCAGCGGGATCATCAGTAGCACTAAGCTTTTCTCCGGCTTCTTCAGCCTGCAAAAAATGCCAATTATATAAATGGAGTTTACAAACCAAGAAGAGGCATTATCACAATCTGTACACAAGCTTTGCTGGCAAACTTCTTCTCACCTTAGCCGCTACTAATTTTGCTTCATGGTTTTCTTCCTCGAAGCTCAAACCTGTAAACTTGCTGTAGAAAAATGATGGAAGTTGAAGTTTCTGCTGCAGCCGGATTCTTCTTGGTGCATTTCCCTGTGGCCCAAAGTTTTTCAAACTAGATTGATCACGTGGTTGGCGAGTCCTTAAATTGATTCCAGTTCCAAAGGTATCACCATGGCCGATGGAATCGCTATTGCTGCTTGATCCTTCGGGACTATTTAACAAATCATAGGATTAGTCACTGGCAGAAGCAACAGAGACAAAAGATCGCTCAAGAAACTCATTTTTTAGCAAGAGAAAATACCTCTGCTGCTCATCATTGCTAATATATATATCAGGAGTTCTATAAGCTTCAACAGACGTTGCCATAAATACATTAGCCGTCCTCTCATTGTTCGGCTCAAATTGCTCAGGATCAACCTGGGGTGCAGGAAGACATTAATTTTCTAAATATAAGAACTTAGAATAATGCAGAATAATTTCATATGCAAGTATCATGAAAATTATGCAATTCAAGGCATTTGAGTTGGATTCTGGAAACTTCACAGAAGTCGTTAAGTTGAGAATTCACAAAATCATAAGGGCTGAATGGTTCTCAGAGCATTCAGCTTACCTGTTCCTGGGCCGCTTCTGCATCTGAGTCGCTATTGGAGACCAACTGAAGAAGATAATTATAAAGAGGCGCCTCACTTGGGACTGAAGCAAAGTACTCAGTAGAACCCTGTTCAGTTGGTCCATGGTCACCCACATCGTTCGAGAAGGGCCAATGCAAGTCATGCATAGATTCAAGATTTGGCTGCATCTGCGAGTGCAATGGGGAGAATATTTTGGCAAGGGAATCTGGTTGTTCCGGATCAACAAGATGTCTCGACACTTCTGGGTCATATTCCAGCTGAAACATTCAAGAAAAAATAAGAAACAATTTGACTGTGATTTCATACTCTCCACAAAGATAGTTAATGAATTAAGCTAAAAAATAAACTGTTCTCACATCATCAGCAACATAGCTATCATGGAAGCTCTCATAATTTTGAGCAAGGCAACTCTTACTACTAGACAGTAGATTTTCAACTTGGGCATGCACCGTAGGAGTCACCGGCTCTGATGGCATAAATGATACAACTGTGGCAGGAGAAGAAACATTCTCCTCAACTTCATCGCAATTCAAACCTTCAGTACTCTCATCCTGATTTCTTTCTAGCTTGTTATCATGCTTCTTGATTAACTTAAACAGGAAAAACGAACCCTGCATAAGGCAAAAAGTAGGTAAAATGAATTAAGTGAGCCAGTACTTGAATTATAATTCACAGATTTAGTCAGAATCTCCAAAACAAAACTAAAGGGAAAAAAAAGACTGAGCGGAAAATTTCAACCTAAAGACCAAAAAATTGAAACAAAGCACCAGTTTGAACTAAGAATAATGTGGACGTTATTTTTTAATGCAAATCATAATAATTATTATTTCTAATTACACAAGTTCTACATTAATGTATAACACATTTTCATCAATTACAGGCTAAAGAGCCACAAGATACAATACATTTAAAAATAAAAAAATTAATCAATCAGACTTGAAAAAAATCAACTACGCTGTCAATGCCCTCCAAAATTATAAAAGGGCTGCAGAAAAATCTGTGTACTTTTCATTTGGTAGAATACAAGAAGCTCTTGACATAGATTGTTGAGATAACTGTTCCAAGATGTCTTGTGAGTAATCTGAGACTCTGAAAAACAAACTCCATATGTTCAGCTAAAAGCCTGAAACAAACTAATCGCTCTATTTTTTTGTTTCTTTTCCACCTCAAGGTAGCTCAATCAAAGGAGTCTTAGGATGTCCAAAAAGGACCTCATTTCAAAATTAATTTGTTCCAAAGCAACAGAAAGTGAAACAAAATTTGAGCCAATGGGTCCTAAATTAATAATCCACAAATACCAGTTAGAATGAAAATCACATACCTATCGCCTGGTTTGTACCAGCTCATTGCTATAAAGTTTTTTTTATTTTTCATTTGTGACCAAGGATTTTATATAATCCACAAACATCCGATTTCCAGTAAGTACCAGTATGAATATGTCTCCTAATACTGTTATTTAAAACTAGGCCCGCCCACAATCCAAGACAAGAAAAAATTAGAAATCAAAGGGTAATCAAACAGAATTGACAGAAATGTGTGAAAGAGAAAGAGATCAAAAGGTTGAACCTGTCCTGGATTAGAGGCATCAAGCTCTTTACTGGTTGCACAGTACTCATGAATTACCCAGTTAGTCCTCTTCCCTTTAGGAGCACGCCCAGTGTGGAACACCAAACTCTTCTTCGTGCCAATCTTAGTCGTTCCATTACCACTCTTGATCGGCCTATCATTACCCGTCGCCTTCCAGAACCCTTTCTTAGTCGATCTGTTCGATCGCTTTCCTTTTCTATTCTTGGGATCTTTGGGACAGAAAAAGATCCATTCATCATCATTCGTCGGTATCAGCGACATACCTTCAATTACACACATACACACACACACACACAAAATACCTAAATAAGTACTGATATCAACAGAACACAAACCCAAAATGCAAACATGAATACACAAAATTAGGGCTTTCAATCAAGTATATCAAAAAAATAAAAAACAAATTACCAGGCAATTCCCAGGGTTCGCATTTGCATAGATCAACCTCTCGAATGAAACGAACAGCGTCCTCATTGCCAGTGATCTTGGAGCGAAGGAAGTGATCGATGAGTTGTTCGTCGGTCGGATTAAATCGGTACCCTATCGGCAGAGCTTCCAAGGGCAAAACCTCCATCCCCAAAATTTAGAGAGAGAATGAATAGATACACAAAGAGAGAGAGAGAACTATATATATATACAAGAGCTTCTGTATACATATACAATATATAGTGTAAAAGATAGGAAGAGAAACAAAGAAAATTCACAGTGATGTAGTTTTTGAAGAAGGAAGCAGAAGCAGAGAGAGCAAGAGAAAGAGAGAGAGAGTGAGAGAGAGAGGAGAGAGTGGGTGATTTGGGAGCGAAGGGAGCAGAGAACCCGCGTTTTAAATGGAGTTTTTGCTCCGAAATTTCGGAAATTGCCACTGAAATTTTTATCGTCCAATTATGCCCGGAGGACTTACGGCTGACTTGGAAGCAGTAGAGAGGGCACGGGGAGAGATATTGGCGAAAAGGTAGGGTAGTTTAGAGAATTGATGGATTCTTCTCAAGGAAGCTCAAGACTTTAAGTCTGAAATCCAATGTGCGGTTAACACGTAGAAAAAGTGGCGTCATCCTACATAGTGGGACCTACGCCTCTGACGTACATGATCCACTCAGATTGATTGGCCAATCCAATTCCAGTTCGTAACTGTTATCATGCGGATCTTTATATATTTTTCGAACAAATATTACATAATTTTTTTTATTACAGTTAAAAAATAAATTATATAGTTTTATAGCCTCTGTTTGGCAAGTTAGTTTTCAGGCTTTTTTGGTTATTTTAGGCACAAAAAATAAAATAAGTTATTTTAGCCATAACAAAAAAATATTACATCCAATCTATAATCATTACATTCTTCTCTCACAAAAAAAGTCAAAAAAGTCAAAAAAGCCAAAAAGCCAAAAAGCCCTTCCCAAACTAAACTTTTTAGCCCAGACTAAAATAGTCAAAAAAGTCAAAAAATCAAAAAATCAACCTACTTCCCAAACCAAGCCATAATAATACTAGTCGGATCTCCCAGCACGATTGTGACATAGTATATCAAAATTAAATTAGTCATTGTTATTTCTGTTTTCTTAATTTTTTAGATAAATGAAACTCATCTATATTAAGAAGAGCTATACTCATGGACAACGTATAGACACATAAACAAATATGATTAATTGTTCATAAAATATAAGAACAATATGTTAGTGTAGGGGTCAAGAATTTACTTGCTAAGAACTATACATTTACATATTGCATTAATGTGTACGTAGATATTAGAGGAGCAAAATCGTCATCAAGAAATTTAAATTATCACCAACTCACATTAACAAGAAAAATTCATACAGTTGCTTTTTCTTAATCTCTTATGTTGTATTTGGTTAGGAGATTTAGAAAGGAATTTAGAAAGGGAAATAAAAAAGGTAGGTAAAATGTGAATAAAACATGTCTATATTTCACTTAATTTTACACACTTTTTTCAATTCTCTTTCTAAATCTCTCTTCAAATCTCTTAACCAAACATAACATTAGTATTCAGGGCATAAATAATAAATAATAATGAAAAAGTTTGAAATTATTATCTTTAATTTCTCATCTACACATGGATGCAATGCATGCTATCATACTTTCTATTAGCATGCTAATGCTTAATATGTCAGTATCCAAACCAGTACCTTATCTTCCATGACATTCCCTAAAACAAAAGTCAAAGGACAAGACCAGAGCAGTTAATGACATTTAAGGAAAATGTCTCGTAGCTCAAATTTTGTGGCTCAAAAGTGGCTCAAATGGCCAAAACGACGTCGTTTTGGCCATTTTTATGTTGTTATGTACTCAAAACGACGTCGTTTTGGCAATTTGAGCCACTTTTGAGCCACAAAATTTGAGCTACGTAGCATCGTCGGACATTTAATAGAACTCAAGCCCTTGCTCCTTCTTTATTATCCTTTGCCATACTTGACCAAGAATCTACTGCATCAAGAGATAAACAAAAGAATATTGTATAAAATAACGCAGACCTACCCGACATGAGGGACACTTTGGGAAAATTAATAAAAAGTTAATTTTTTAATTTTTTAATTTTTTTAGTCAATATAAAGTCAGTGTTTTTTATCCAAAACAATTCAGTTTTTTGTTAAAAAAGTCAAAAAATTAATTTTTTATCAACTTTTCAAAATACCACTGAAAGAAGCCCAAACACCCCAACCCCAAAGAAGTGAATGACTGGAAGATCTCCAAAACGGTGAAAAAAATTGTATACAAAGTTCGTCTAGGCTAGTGAAAAATAACCGTTAAAGGTGAACTTGGAAACCATGGCACATCCGCAAAGGAGCAAGATTATCTTGATCGGAGCAAAAAAAAGGTTAAAGCAATAGAAGATTCTGATGGAAAACTGCAAGGAACTCATGATAGCCCTATGGATCATATAGATGAACAAATGGTGGAGCCAGTTGAAGGACGAATAGATCCCAAAGATAGGGACACCGAGTCTTCTAAGGAAACTCATCGATCCTTCAAACAAGCTCTCCTGATATCTAGATTTAATGAAACAGAACGAGAACGCAGCCTCGATTGTGAGGCGGCCTATTTTTCTTCCGATGAGGAAATGGAAAATGATGAACCTATAGAGACAGATGTGGAGTTTAAAGGGACCGCCTCACATACAGTTATGAAAATTCCGATTGGTCTCCTTAAGAAAGTCAGAGAACCATGGAAAAATTGTCTCATTGTGAGACTTTTGGGAAGGAATATTAGCTACAACTTGTTTGTCAATAGAATGCATAAACTATGGAATTTACAAGCAGGTTTTGAATCGTTGGATATTGGAATTGGTTTCTTCATAGTAAAATTTGAAATAATGGAGGACTACACTAAGGTTTTCACAGGGGGCCCATGGATCGTGTTGGATCGTTACGTAACAGTCTGTAAATGGCAACCTGACTTTAAATCTGACGAGGCAGAGGCAGATACAACCGCAATCTGGGTCAGGTTCCCAAACCTCCCCATTAAGTATTATGATGAAAAGGTTCTTTACCATATCTCGAAGGTGCTTAGTAATCCATTAAAGGTTGACATTAATACTGCCATGGCAACACGAGGAAAATACGTAAGGGCTTATGTTGAAATGGACCTCCGTAAATCGCTTATTTCGTACCTCACTGTTAGGCAATATCATTATGTGGTGGAATATGAACATTTACATATTCTGTGTTTTGCATGTGGCCGAGTTGGCCACCGGAAAGACAAGTGCCCTGAATTTCCGATGATACATCTGGAGAAGATGAAACAAAATGAGACCGTTGCCAAACCTGAACAAGATACTGGGCCAACAACATCAAGGCCCAATGGACATAAGAATAAAGACATATGCAATGAGGAAGGGACAAATGGGTATGGGTCCTGGACCATAGCCCCAAGTAGGAAAAAATTCTAACAGGGAAAAGTTAAACAAAAGGCCCATTTTGAAAAGGATAACAGATTTAAAGTCCTGCAACTGGATAAAGAGCATGAGGAAAGTAGTGAAGCCCAAAGAAGCAGTGGAGGCCAGAGGACGTATGTGGACCTGGATATGGCCCTCACTATTGATATAAGTATCACGCCTAACGACCAACCTAGGGGCTCACCAGATTCATTTTTACAAATCTCTCCAGTAATGGATGTGGACTTAGTTAAACCCATGAAGGATTGTAGACAAGGTATAGGGCCAGTTGCTCAACATGGGCCAGAAGAAGTGTACCATCAGGCCAATCAAACCATTACCCATCAAGAGGCACCGAATCTCAACCCAGGTAAAGCTTGTATTCAAGGAAACCCTAACATTTCAATTGTTTCTAAGCCTCCCTTTATCTCCAAGAGTTCAACTGTAAGGTTGGGCGGTAAAATCTCACCAAATCGATCGAAAGCTCGATGAGGTAAACAACCTGAAGCTAGTAGAACACAGGCGGTAAGAGCTAATGGAGGAAATCGCAGAGAACATTTTAATGACCGAGCATCGAGTGGATCAGTTCAGGACTCTACTATTTTTAGAGCTCGAGAAATAAGTGTATCACCACATCAGAATAGATTGGTGGCTAGAAGAAGTGAAGCTACTGATTCAATCTTGGTGGGAGATAGACTCACACAATGTGAGACACATGGTACTTGTGAAACCAACGAAAGAAATGGAGACAACTCAGAACCAAGTGAGAAGATTACTAGGACTCTCTAAGTCAGCGGACTGGCCACATTTTCAAATGTCGTCAATGGATTTGCTGATATGGAACTGTAGGGGCGCTGGTAAAAATCGATTCAGGTAGAATCTGCGCGAATTGGTACAAATTCACAAACCTGACATGCTTATCCTAATGGAGACCAAAGTGGAGTTAAACACTATGGGTATGTTCTTCAATAACTTGGGATATACTGCCTCAACTCATATTGATCCGATTGGAAAGAATGGAGGAATTTGGTTATTGTGGAATCCTAGCCATGCTAATGTTCGTGTCACCGAAGCTAACTCCCAGATGATCATGGCCACAATCTCACGCCAAGAGTACCCAGACTAGGTATTATCCGCCATCTATGCAAGCCCAAATCACAGACTGAGATATGAACTCTGGAATAGGTTGGAAACAATTGCGCAAAATACCCAGGAACCGTGGCTGGTTGTAGGGGATTTTAATGACTATTCAAGTTCTGAGGATTAAATGAGCTATTCGTTTCACTAGAGCCAAAGTTCAAGCCAAAGCCACAGATAAAGTCAGAAGTTCCTTGATAGAGTTAACAAATGCTCCCTTATGGATTTAGGTTGTGTTGGTCCAAGACTCACTTGGACAAATAACAGAAAATGGTGGGCTAACACCATGGTCAGACTGGATCGGGCCCTGTGCAACACGGAATGGAGAACTTTATTTCCAGAAGGATATGTTCGCAACCTACCTCGTACTTATTCAGACCATTCTCCCCTAATCGTTCATACTCAAGGTACGCACCATTCTAGCACCTCTTGTCCCTCCTTTAAATTCCAGGCTGCTTGGATTTCCTATGAGGGATTCCGGGAAGTTGTTGATAATAGTTGGTCAAAGCATAACTAGGCCAACCTATTGGAAAATTTGGATTCCTTGACATCTACGGTTCAGGTTTGGAACAAAAATGTTTTTGGCAACATTTTTCGATGCAAACGTTGGCTACTGGGTAGGGTCAATGGAATCCAAATTTCACAAGCTAAGCATTTCTCTCATAATCTGCATAAACTAGAAACTGAACTTATTGCTGAGTATAATAAAATCTTATATCAAGAAGAATTGCTTTGGTTCCAAAAATCTCGGGCTAATTGGATTACCCAGGGAGAACGAAATACTAAGTTTTTCCACATGTCTACCATTATTAAGAAAATGAAGGCTAAAATTGAAGTTTTGAAAATGGATGAGGGGATTTGGATTGACAATCTCACTGTCTTAAAAACTCTGGTCAATTCTCATTTTCAAAATTTGTTTGCTTTTAATCACACTATTTGTCTCGATCACTGGAACAATTTGACCAATTGTTTAAGTCCTGAGGATCAAGTTGAGATGGGTAGGGATGTCTCTGATGATGAGATATGGAGAGCAGTCAAAACATCAAAGCCTTCAAGGCCCCGGGTCCGGATGGGTACCAAGCCATATTTTACCATACCTTATGGGATATAGTGGGAAGGTCTGTGATCAACTTTGTCAAACACTGTTTTGCCACCTGTTCCATTCCCCCCGAGGTAAAATAGAACTTTTATAGCTCTTTTACCTAAAATTGCCAATCCGAAAAATGTAAAACAGTTCAGGCCTATCAGTTTGTACAATGTGTCCTACAAAATTGTTTCTAAAATCATTGTCAACCACATTCGACCTCTGTTGAGCACTATCATTAGCCCAACCCAAAGTAGCTTTATTCCGAGTAGATCCACTCATGACAACATCATTATTACTTAGGAAGCTCTTCACACTTTGAGAAAGAAAAAAGGAAAGGTGGGTTTCATGATTTTTAAGGTTGACCTCGAAAAAGTTTATGATAATATATCTTGAAATTTTCTTAAACAAACTCTGAATGAGTTTCAATTAGATGGGAAACTGGTGGAGTTAATTATGAGTTGTGTTTCTAGTGTGTCTACTGCTATCATTTGGAATGGCCAACCTCTTGAAGAGTTCCAACCTGCTAAGGGTTTACGGCAAGGGGATCCTTTATTCCCTTACCTTTTTGTGTTATGCATGGAAAGGCTATCTGCTATGATTAGTCAAAAAGTGCATGAAAATGAGTGGATGGGACTTAGTTTGGCTAAGAATGGTCCTATTATTTCTCACTTATTCTTTGCTGACGATTTCATTTTGTTTGCTAAAGCAAATGAAAAAAATTGTACCACAATCTCGAAAGTGCTGGATGAGTTTAGTACTATTTCTGGGCTAAGGGTTAATCTTCAAAAATCACACATGTATGTGTCTTCTAACATAGAACGACACAGAGCTCGTAACTTGAGTAACAAATGTGGTATTCCTTTAACGCACAATCTGGGGAAATACCTTGGGATACATTTGTTTCATACTAGAGTGAGCAAAAATAACTTCAATTATATCTTGGAAAAACTCAAAAATAAACTTGCTGGATGGAAATCTGGAATGTTATCCTTGGCTGGGAGGGCAACTTTGATTCAATCAGTTACTAGTGCTATGCCAGCTTATGCCATGCACACAATGGAGATTCCACGGAAAGTTTGTGATGAGATTGATAAAATTAACCGAAACTTTCTTTGGGGTGATACCTCTGAAAAGAGGAAAGTTCACCTTGTGAATTGGACTCAGGTTTGCAAGCTAAAAAAAGATGGTGGACTTGGGATTCAAAAGGCTAGAGATCAAAATCTAGCCCTTTTATCCAAATTGGGCTGGAAAATGATAAAAGAGGAAAATTGTTTATGGGTGGAGGTGCTTAAACAAAAATATTTGAGGCAGCAACCTTTTTTATTTATAAGGAAATGCAAGAGTATTTCACATACTTGGAAAGGTGTGTTAAATACTAGAGAGCTCCTTGTTAAAGGGGTGAGATAGACCCTTGGCAGAGGTTCCAAAGTGAGGGTTTGGCAAGATTGGTGGTGTGGTGATGGGGTGTTTGAAACAAACTTGAATATACCCATCAACCATTCTCCGAACTCTGAAATATGCACTGTGGCTTCCCTTCTTGATGAGTATGGTGAATGGGATTTAAATATTATGCACAACTTGTTACCCTTGCATTTGGTAAGGGAAATCTTGAAAATACAACCACCTCGAACTAGAAGTGCAGAGGACACTCCCAGATGGGCTAAATCCCCTGATGAAGAGTTCTCTACATCCAGTGCCTATGCTTTACTTATTGATCATCGAAATCGGGAAGGTGATTGGGGTTGGATATGGAAACTTAAGGCCCCTCAAAAGCTTAAGAGCCTTGTGTGGCTTGTCCTACATGAGAAAATTCTAACTAACCATTTGAGAAATTTGAGGAGTCTTGCAACAGATTCAAAATGCCCATGCTATGAAGGTGTGGAGGACATTGATCACTTGTTCAGGCTTTGTCCAAAAGCCAAGCAGGTTTGGTGTCAAATATTTAGTAGGGACTGGTATGCTAAAATGCTACAATTACCTTGGCAATAGTGGATTATTCGGCATGTGAAAAAGAATAATAAGTAACCTCCTTTGTTCTTTATCACAATCTGGATAATTTGAAAAAATCGGAACAAAATGGTTTTTGAAAATAAATCCATAAACAGTTATGAGAGTATGAAAACCATATCTGACTACTCTAAAGAAATTTGTCAAGCTTTCAACTTGGACATCACAACTCCCCTCAAATCTAAAAGTCTAAGTGTGTGGTCTTGTCCAAGTGCAAGTAAAAGTAAGCTCAATACGAATGGTAACACTCGGCGAAACGGAGGAGGTAGTGGTTTTGGTGGTCTATTCCGGGATGAGAAAGGCACGTGGATCAGCGGTTATTATAGGAGACTTGAGATCAGCACCAATCTTGAAGTGGAATTGTGGGCTGTCTATAAGGGACTCACAATTGTACTCTAGCGAGGTATGAACCAAGTCATAATAGAAACAGATACGGAGCAAGTACTGCAATTGTTGAGCGAAGACCTAGGCGAGAGATGTCCCTTTAGAGGCATTGTGAAGGATGCACGCATTATCATGAGAGGCTGCGATTGTTCCATTCAGCACTTCTGGAGGGAAGCCAACATCTGCGCCGATGCTTTGGCAAAGCTAGGAGAAAATCAACCAACTGACCTTCTAATTGTTAACACCCCACCAGCGGAAATCCGGCATCTTCTAGTTACGGATATTGTGTACCTCTCTGAGGAGGGTAATAGGATGTAGTTCCTGCGTTGTTTTTTATATTCCGATGTACCCAAAAAAAAAAAAAAAAAAAAAAAAAAAAAAAAAAAAAAGCCCAAATCTA